CTTTAATTAGAGTTATTTCAAGACAAAGATGACAAGACACATGTAAAAATAGTTAATGAAAAATAGTTATTGTGAATAGTACTCCATATCTCATTATCATAGACCGAATTTTAAAGAAATAAATAATAAATCTTATTCAACATTCTAGATGATCAATATAATACGGAGTAATAATAATAATAATAGTAATAATAATAATAATAATAATAATAATAATAATTGGTGAGCATACTATTGTTATTTAAAATTTCATCATCATAGAAAAAATTTGTAGAATTATATAATTAATGAATAAATTCTTTTACAACCTAAATAATTAATGAAATAGTAATTAATATTAAACGATGAACAGTAACTTTATAAAACGGGCAAGGTGAAAACCAGGAATAGAGGTTTGGGATGGAGTAAGAGAAGGGTCAAATTGGGGCAAAGATGGGAAGAAATTGCGGTAATCAGAAACTAATGCGCGCAATTAGTTGCCAAAAGTTATAATGCAAATGAGCTAATTGTATGTTAATTAAAATCCCACTAGGCGATGATTGGGGTGATCACCCTTGGATTAATTCACTAGGCCATGTAATGTAAGTACAAGTACTATGCATTAAGTTAATTCTAAACTTTACTTAAAAGATTAAAAGTCATCAAATAAAGTAAATTTGGAACACCTACCCGTTCATTAAGGTACCTCTAAACTTCACTTACAAGTCATCAATAGAGTAAATTGGGAACACTTAATATAATGAGAAGTCAATAATTGATTCTACCAAAGAGTTTATGTGTATTAGGAATTCAACAAAATTGTCGAGCTAAGAGTTAATTGACAAAGCTTTCATAGTGACTTGAATTCAAGACCTTCACAATAAGTTATGGCAAATAAGTCTCAAAGTGAACTCTTAGATTATAAAAGGTCTAAATGAGTTTTCGACTATAAATTTAAACTTTTGATGAAGATGATTGTTCTTTGATATAATACTAAAGCCTAATTGACCTGGCGATCAAAAGGCAGAATGATTGAGTGAAAGATCCGAGTTTGCCCGCACAAGCGCACATGCGTGTTAAAACATATCGGGATATAAGGGAATGGGAGGCTCATTCATCAATTTACAGTGGTAGTAGTATTGTCCCATTTGTAATTTTATAGATTGAACTAACTATGTTATCAAATATTTTTTAATTTGGTGATATTGATACGAATAGAATGTAGTATTTGTTCATGTTTTTTCGATCTAATGACACATAGTGAACGATTGTTTCCACTTTCCACTCCCACTAGGACTTGAACATGAGGGGGCTTTCCCATGAATTTTGGAGAGTAAATTATCTACTCCCTCCGTCCCTAAATAAACTTCCTCTTTTGTTTTTTCTTTGTTCCCAAATAAGTTTCTCTTTTCCTTTAAAAAACTCCTTTTACTCCTTACTTTTTCATACCCTACCTATCACATCATACATTTTTACCAATAATCTACATATCACATCTTACTTTTACACATCACATCGAAGGTATTTTTGGAAAGTCAATACAAAAATATCCCTCCCTTAAATTCTCAAAAAGTCAAAAACGGAAGTTTATTTAGGGACAGAGGGAGTATAACTCATGCCAAGAGAGAAGCTTTTAGTGTTATTGAGTGCTTACATTATACTACCTCAGTATTGGTTAAGATTAGACTTTTTATAGTCAATCACTTTCAACTTTAATTTTGACCAATAATTAAACAAAATTAATAAAGTATATTATTGAGGTAAAATAGTATTTTGAAAGTATTTAAAAAAATAAATCTAATGAAATTACTTTTATATCAATATCTTTTTTAGAAGAAACAGATATTAGTATGAAAGTAATATCATATCAATATCTAATATCAATTTTATTTAATTAATGATCAAGGTTAGTTAATTTAACTGTAAAATATCAAATTGAACAAAATTTCAGAGAAAAAGATAGTATTCTTTATGTTTTTTTCAATCACGCTAATTATGATTAAGGTCTGTTTAGTTTACAAAATTGACGAAATTAAATTTGAATTAGTAGTTGAAATTCTATGGAATTGATTTGGATAGAATTGAATTTTCTAATTCTAACTCATTTTTTACATTACCAATTCTAAATTCACATATTTTTGTGCTACGAAACAAAAAATTTAGAATTATTGTCGCTAATTCTAATTCTATTGTTTGAGTTTTGTACTAAATGTTATATATTTTAGTGTAATTGAAAAAATTATGACCAATGGTATCCTAATAATCATCAAAGATTTTTGGTGGTGCGGAGTGCACGCTTCGTTGAGTTTTTAGGATAAAAGTCTTGTTTTATCGGGGGTCCCAAGGGGTCAGCGCCCCCTTGGCGGGGGTTTGGGAGCAGCGCCCTCGAGCAAGGTTCAAGGGGCGGCAACCCCTGCGGGGTCTAAGGGGCAGAGCCCTTGGCCGGGGTCGCTCAGGTCAGCTCGAAAAGTTTTTATTTTGGGCAAAATGTTATGCTAAAAAATTCAATGGAATTTTTATTTTTGAATTTTCTTTAAAGGAAAAATCCTTAAGGATAGCGTTGATTTTCTAAAGGCTTTTCGCGCGAAGGATTGTGTGTCTTGGGTAAAAGAAGTGATCGCGTCTTCTCTTCTCTACCGGAACTCCATATATTCCCAGAGGTCTTTGGTCGAAAATTCGTTCGAAAATTTCACAGCAATCTCGTATTCGTTCTTGTTACTTTCGAGTTTTATCTGATTGAATTTTAGATTGAACAACCAAAATATTCAATCTGAAAGTGTTATACACGACTCTCGATTGATCCACGTTTTCGTTAATTTTCCTAACACTAAATCGAGTCTTAAAATTTAATCTACTTTTCCCAATATAACTATATTCCCAATTTAACTATATGACTACTTACTATGGGCAAGGTTCCATGACATTGGGAACCAATGTCATGAGATGACCCGGGGGCGCTCCGGTACCATGTTCGTAAAATTGACGGTTTCTACCCCTCATAACCCTCCCAGTAAACCTCCCACCCTGCCTCGACCCGAACACACCCCCCACCCCCTTCAGTTGCATCTAACAAGTTGATTTTGACTTTGGAGTCAAATTTTAACTCCAAAGTCAAAATCAACTTGTGGGAAACAATTGAAGGGGGTGGGGGGTGTGTTCGGGTCGGGGCGGGGTGGAGGGGTTTACCGGAGGAGTTAGGAGAGTATGAATCGTCAATTTTACGAATGGGACACCGGAATACTTCCGAGTCATTCCATGACATTGGTTCTTAGTATCATGTAAACCTTGGTGATTTAGTATTTAGAGACCCGATCCTCTCGTACAACTAGGTGCATTCTTTTGTTTGCCTTTCCCTTCGAATTAATTTAACCAAAATGTTACAAAACGTATACACCTTTTTCAGTACATATGCACCTTATTAGGTATAGATTCAAATAAATGATTAACGCATCACATAGTGAGTTTCCGAAAATCACCCCCCCACCCTCCAATTTGTTTGAGAACGATTCAGTTTATGTGATTTGTTTTAATCTCTTTGAAATAAATTATAAATTGATCTGGAATAATCTAAATATAGTTATATTTAAAATTATTTATGATATAATTTGATATGATTGTAATAAGAATAAGTAATAAGTATAAAAAAATAAGTTGAGAAGGACATGGTCTTAGACACTCTTAGGGGCTGTTTGTTTCAGCCTCTTAATGGTTCAGATATCTGAATGGTGCAGCACTTAATGATTCAGACTGTTTATTTCGTGAGCAGATGTCTGAATGGTTCAGACATTTGCCTCTGAATGGTTAAGTATTACACAGAGTCTGAATGGTTAAGACCTCTAATCTGAATTGATCAGACATTTGCCTCTGAATAGTTAAGCAATATACTAGCTCTTAAAGGCTCAGACCTCTTACTGGTTCAGCACTTACCTATTCAGAAGTTGCCAAACAACCCCTTAATCTCTTTGAACTGCCCAAACTCCCTACTATACGTCTTTCTCTCTTCATTGTGGCGTTGGTACGATAAATTATGTAACAAATTGGGGATAAATGATGGACAATACGAGAGTTGGGGTGATAAAAAGGGGCGAAGAGCATTTGGAGGATGATTCGGCAATTAGGGGGTGGATTTACCTGTGGCTACAACAAAACAATGTAAGTGTCTGAAACAAATCAATATCATAATTATGAATTTGGTATTTGAAGTCAAGAGAACAGTACGTATTTTTTCATTACTTAAAAAAGGTGAACCTCGTCTTAGAGTCCTCCCACGCCTTGCCTCGATAGTTAAAGTAGGTACATGAATCTTATATCTCGGTCAAGTGAGCTCTCTTCCTAATCCCAACAGGAATTTTTATGCAAATCATAAATCATTTTATATTATCTTCACTATGAGTCTAATCTGATCACAACACTCTTCTACACCCTTATTATATTCATCACTTGAAATGTGTAGTTCCTTTTGAGATTTAATTATTTATTCTTGTTATTGTTATTGTAAGTGTGAGTTTTTCTTTAATTAGGGTTTGTTTGGTGAGCAAACAAGAAATTAGTTTTGATATGTACAGATATATAAAAAAAATAGATGTCTGGTGAAGCCAAATAAGATAACGATTTTGATATCTTCTGATATCATAAATCTTTCAAATAGAGGGTTTCGATATCTTCTGAATTTGAGAGATATCAGGAATGAGAGTTTGACATTTCTCTCAACCATTGCTCATTCTCAATCATCGGCTACCATTATCATCGCCAACCACTCATGTTGTCGGTCTCCTCCACTTATCAATAATTAAATCATGATTTTGAATCTCTTCAAATAACTTTGTTTCAGATTTCAAAACTTTTATCATTTTTTCAATATTTTTTAACAAATATCTTATCATATCTCCGAAAATTTACCAAACCAGCCCTAAATTGTGTAGAGGGATCTCTCCAAATTTCATGCAATTTTGATTTTATAGAGAAGAAGGTGGATGACGAGTTCTATTCCCCTAATTTCATGCACTTGTTATAAATTGACGAGTTTTTTTTTTTAATTTTAAATTTTTAATTTGATACTCGTATTCTACTCCTTCTTCGTCCTCTCCTCACTCAAAACCGTGTGGTCCAATCTTTCAACTTTTTATTGTTATATATATATATATATTTATATAAATCCTACTTCCGCCTCTCTGGTCTTACCCTTCCCAATTAGGGAAGAACATTCTTCGTCCACATGGGGCCTAAACCACCTCCGCTCCCCCACCGCCACCGCTGCCGCCGCCTGATATTCCTGCTCCACCTCCTCCTCCTCACTCTTGTCTTCGTTTCCACAAATGCTGCCGGCCTTTTCCGAGAAGCTCCGGAGTTTTACAATTCCCCGGAGTGCCCTTCCGTAGATTCCGCAACTGAGGAGGGCGATCTTGAATCCGCCGCATACCTGTGCTCCGAGGAGGCCGTGCACGTGGCGATGACGCTCGACGGCGCCTACCTCCGCGGCTCGATGGCGGCGATCCTCTCCATCATCCAGCACTCCTCCTGCCCCCAGAACGCCGTCTTCCACTTCGTCGCATCCGCCTCCGCCAACGCGTCGCTCCTACGCGCCACGATCGCGTCCTCTTTCCCCTTCCTCAAGTTCCGAGTCTACCGGTTCGACGATTCCTCCGTCGCGGGGCTGATCTCAACCTCCATCCGCTCCGCCCTCGACTGCCCCCTGAACTACGCCCGCAGCTACCTGGCGGACATCTTGCCCCACTGCGTGAGGAAAGTCGTCTACCTCGACTCCGATCTGGTCCTCGTCGACGACATTGCGAAGCTCGCCGCCACGCCTCTCGGAGAAGACCGAGTCCTGGCCGCGCCGGAGTACTGTAACGCCAATTTCACATCCTATTTCACGCCGACGTTCTGGTCAAATCCTTCGCTGTCCCTCACCTTCGCGAATCGAAACGCCTGCTACTTCAACACGGGGGTCATGGTGATAGATCTCGATCGCTGGAGAGCAGGGGACTACACGACGAAAATCGAGGAATGGATGGAGCTCCAGAAGAGGATCAGGATCTACGAGCTTGGATCGCTGCCGCCGTTTCTGCTGGTGTTCGCCGGGAAAATAGCTCCGGTGGATCACCGGTGGAACCAACACGGGCTAGGAGGGGATAATTTCCGGGGACTGTGCCGGGATTTGCATCCCGGGCCGGTGAGCCTTCTCCATTGGAGTGGGAAAGGGAAGCCATGGGCCCGGCTCGACGCTAACAGGCCTTGTCCATTGGATGCTCTTTGGGCCCCTTACGATCTGTTAAAATCTCCATTTTATTTCGATTCTTGAAAATTATCAACCAAAAAAAAAACAGAGAGGTTCAAATGTATAGTACATAAAAATAGAGAAGAAGAAGAAGACAATGAATGTGGATCGGGTCGGGCCAGTAGTGATCAGATCATCTTCTGGGCCACTTTCTTCCTCCCTCACCCATATAGAGTTGCAGGGGTGGAAAATATCAAATTTCGTTATTCTTTTCTCGCGCTGCAAAAACAGCCAAAATGTGAATAACAGAAACGAACTTAATTACAAGTCCCTATTTCTTTTATTATTATTATTGTTATTATTATAATAATTATTATTATTATTAATCTTTGGATTTTTTTGTTATGAATGCTGCTAAGAGTATTTAGGAATGATTGAAAAATGCTAGGGGTACACCAAAGGTGTACTCCATTTGTCTCCCACCCCCTTCATTACCACAAAAATGGGCAAAAATTTTAAAAAAAAATTAAATAAATAAAAAGTAGATAAAAATGAATGGTGGAGAAGGGGTTGGGGGACAAATGGAGTACACATTTGGTGTACCCCTAGCATGGCCCAGGAATGATTTGTATAAAGTTGGGGTACTTGAAGGAAAAGGTCAAATTTTGGCTATGGTGATTATGAACGGGATTATGCTATGTGTACCCCAAGGTTTGTACACCAATTTGTACCCCGCAGTTTTGCACCAACACTTTGTGTTTGTGTAAAACTAATTTTTGTTAAGCGCACTAACATTTGTGTCCGTGTGAATATTTATTAACGCACCAGCACTTGTGTCGGTGTAAACCATCGAAATGTTTGTGCAAGTCTATTGTGTACAAATGGGGTATATTTTTTGGTGTAATTGTAGCATGGTCCTTATGAACGGACTCTATTTTCTTATCATCTTATGCTTATCAGTAGAACCATTTCAAATAAGAGAAATTTACTTAAATAGAACTAAAATATACTCCCTCCGTCCTATAATGATCTTCCCAGAGCACTATTCCAACTTCACGAAAATTTATATTTATTTGTGATTTTTCATGGCCTATATGATAAAATAAAATATTCTTGTCACCACTTGTTTTGTTGAACTTTTGGTGTAGTTTTTAAATATGTATGTTTTATTTTTTATTTTTATACCAATATTTAAATAAAATAGATTGAAAAAACTTGGGATTTTTCTTCGTTTTGCGAACCGGGAAGATCATTATAGGACGGAGGGAGTAATAATTTTTCCAATTTATGACCATATGTTTTTATTTTTAATATAGGACCTTTGTTCATTATCAATTAGTCATTATTCAAGTAATGTCCATCATTATTGGACATTATTTCTCTTACTAGACATTATTAAGTCCTATTTAGGAAATAAAAAAAGTTTAAGTCTTACATTAAAAAATAACTTATGTTTTAGAAATGACTAAAAAAAGAATTTAGGAAATGGGGACTTTGGTTGATTTCAATTATTGCTGTCAAACTTATTGGTGATTAAAAAAATTATTGGTGTCAAACTTTTTGCAGTGCTCAAACTAACTTAAAAGTGATCCTTTGCAAATTAATGATTATGCCACCATGTTACCTCTACGCCAAAGAGTGTCCCAATTTTATACAGAAAAAAATATTATAGCGATGAAAAATTTATATGAATATTTTATATTTGTGTGAACTAACAAAGTGGCGGTGCACACATATAATTTACAAAATGAGATATACTCTTTGGTCTAGAAGTAGCTTTAATCTTAATTATATGATCTTTTTCAGTTTTTCTTCCCTACATTCGATTAGGGATAAGATAATGTAATTAGTAAAATACGGAGTATGTTTGTAGCACTTTTTTTTTGGTGTGAATGTTATGAGTATGTCAAGAAAAAGGGTACTCCCTAATTGGTAAATGCATTCCATTATTGTTAAATGCACTTCACTTTTTTGCTTTTTTTGCTAAGGTAGATAAATTTATCCTTTCAACTAAACTTCTTTTGTAATCATAATATTTTTGACACAATCCACTCATTTTATTTGTCTCAAATAACATTTTGTTCACTGCACATGTAGTTGAATTTTTTTATGAGTACATATTTTCTCGTTTATTTGATTCGGTTATATACATTTCTTAATATATTGAGAAAATATTGTATAACTCGTAAATTCATGTACACCATTTTTATAATGTGCATATTCTTAGCATATAAAAAATTAAAATTTTTCATCTTCTTGTTTCTTTAAAAAATTACTTCTTCCGTCTAATTTATTTTTTTTGTTTATTATTTATATAATTAAACTTTAACCATTTTCTTAACACTTTTTTACAAAATAAGAGATGACATAAGATCATTTTATTTGAAAATTAGTGTTACTTGTGTGAAATAATGAAAGATTATACTTACTTATTATTATTAGAAAGCGGGTACATACATACATACATACATACATACATACATACATAAATACATAAATACATAAATAAATACATACATATATCAATTGCCTTCTCTTGTTTCCCTTTTAGTATAAAAATTGTGTATATATATTTACGAGGTATACAATATTCATTCCATTTATAGAAAAATAGATATAACTAAATCAAAAAATAAAACTATGTATAAAAAAGAGTATATAATGTAACTATTTTAATAGTAAACGAATTTTTATTTGGGACAAATAAAATAAGTGGCTTGTATTATTAAATATTTTGAGAACTAAAAGTTTAAAGTACAAAATTGAAAGAAAGACAAATTTGTCCACTCCAACATAAAAGTAAGGTGGAGTGCATTTAAAGGAACCTATTTATCAAGGACCAAATTCTATGGTCATTCACTCATTCTCATTGATTGATCACCGAAAATTCCATCTTATGATGTTTCATTTATAAAATATATATTTCATACTCTTCTAAATCGGAAAAGGACCAAAGTAGTAGTAAAACATATGACATATCCTCAAAATAAGAATTGAAACATAAACTCCCCTAAATAGGAGTAATTAACTTAATTAATATAATGTCTTAGAGTTAAGGAGCGAAATAAAAGTAAAACATCGACCATGTACCAAAATAGAAGTTATATTCATATTACAATAAAATTAAATACATTTTATCAATTAAAAAAAATTCTAAATTAGCTACAACCCATTCCACACATGCCACTGACGCCACTCTTGCCGCCATCGTCGGTACTATCATTCCCGCCACTCCATCGCCATGATCTCTTGTTGTCATCGCTATTAAATGCGGCCATCATCTACATTGTTGCTGCCACTAACACCGCCATGGTCGGCATGATCACCGTCATCGCCACCGCGATCTACCGCTCTCATGCTCATTTGTTGCGGACGCCGCCTCCATCGCCCCCATTTTCTGCTGTCAATGTAAGAATTTACTGCCATTGTCGCCACCATAATGCCATGGTGTCACTGCCAAGGGAGAAAACTTTCAATTGCAATACAATGACAACTAAAGCCACAATGTCAAAGACGATAATGCATACTGACAAACTTGTCATTTTATAATGACAAACATGTTATTGCGTAATGCCAAACATGTCAATATAAAATGTAAAAAAGAGAGTGAAATGTCAAGATTGCCAACATACAATGTCAAATTTCTTAATATTATCACCAAATTTTGCTGAAATTGGGAGCAAAAATTAAACACCACTAATAGAAAAACAATCGAACAAAAAAATTAAAAGGAAAAACAATCAAATACAAAGATGAAAATAAAAAAACCAAACCAAAATCAATGCCTAATGAAGATACAATTTTTCGGAGAAAAAAAGGATGAATGCAATTAGTTGGAAATATTTTTTTACTTCTATAATGCAGTCTCAATTAAAGTGCATTTGGAAGCTAATTAAAAATCAAAATCATAGTCATCGCGACTGGCGATAATCTCAGATCTAATGGATATAGGCGGTGTGATAAATCTGAAAGGGGGAGAGATGGAGGCGGCGCTCTACGACGAATCTACAGGGGATGCTTCGTGACAAATCTACAAAGGGGGAAGCTTGTGCGGCGGTATTGTAAGGACTGGGGCGGTGGTGATGTACTGCATACACTTCGGGTGGATTTGACGGAGGCAACGCTTCAAAATGATAAGGGTGGTGGCCAAAATGAGAGAGAGGAAAAAGAAAGAGGCATGGTGAGGTGGCCATGCATGAGGAGATGGACCAGAGAGAGAAGAGAATAATTATAGATTTAATACTATTTATGAATTTTTTTTATTACTTAATTAATTACTCGTATTTAGAGAAGTTTAAGTTTGAGCTCCTATTTTATGGATATGGCATATGTTTTCTTCTTATTTAGGAGGTTTTCTTCTTCTAAATCTCAAGGTAAATTCCCGTCAAGTCTAGACCCCAACCTATTTTCCACCAACATCAATTGCGACATGGAAGTTTAGTTGATTTTGGGGTCAAATATTTTGACTCTAAAGTCAACTAAATTTGCAGGGTGTAATTCGCGTGGGTGGGGATATGGGTTGAGATCGGGACAGGTTGGGAGAGATGGCTATTTACCATGGGGTTAGGAGGGACATAAACTATCGATTTTGCAGTTCTTATTTCTATCAGTTTCTTCCAATTTTTTCAAGTTTTTTTCCAACTATGCTCATGTTTTTCAAAATCTTTTCACTCCCCAAATAATTACTCTAAAAATGATGAATTTTAATGTTATTATTATTATCATTATAATTTTACTTATTATTATTATAATTACAACTATTGTGTTCATAACTATAGTTTATAAATTATTTCGTTTTTTTTTCATGCCACTATTTTTACGATTTATATTCTTCTAAATTGATATGAGCAAAACATTTTTCGAATTTTTATAAAAAAAAATTGAAAGTCAAAATATTTTAGAGAAAAACATAAAACTATGAGTAAAACATAAAAGTGTACCAAATATGAGATCTTTATTTTTATTCCCAAAATAAGAGTTGCACTAGAAATACAATGTCAATCATGAAAGAAAAAATAGATTTGATCACATTATGCGGCATGTCTGATATTTAAAATAAACCCTGGAATATATAATGTGTAATTATAAATATATTTTTTCATAATAAATACAACATAAATAATTTGAGGTGAAACGTAACCACAATAACTTTTTAAAGTTTAACACTTTAATATTTATGCTAACTTTATATTCTAATTATTATTTTTTTGTGAAAGTTGATTTTTGTGTATGAAAAATGACAATACTTTTCTATCTTATAGACATTGATTAAGATAATGTGATTATGAATATAATAATAATAATAAATTCTAACAGCAACA